GGACTCACCGTAACTTTCTTTTAACTCAATTACTCTCCAAAGATTCTATCTCAACATATCACATTTTGTGGTATTGTGGTTGGGATTACAGTATTGGTGTGGGGGACACATTTCAGCCTATAACACAACTCAGCCTGGTAAAGGGCTGAGATGTGATGCCTCAACTTAAATGTTTGAAGTGTTTATTAACATTTAGATGTTAAAATGAGGTTGAAGTTGCTAACATGGAAAACACTCAAAACTTTTTAACTGGAATAGGCTGACCAGGTTTGTTTTGTTAAAGAGAGTTCCTTGTTAATGAGAAACCTATTGTCCCAGGAAAGTATATAAGTGGAAACATATGGGAGCTTTAAAATTTTCTAGAAGTCCTATTAATACAAGTTAAAATAATTAGGTAGGGAAAAACAGGTGGAATACATTTTAATGACATTTTACTTAACTCAATGTGTGTTTTCAAAATATCCCAGAAATTATTAATGCACTATTTTGCATTCTTGTTTTTTGTTCTCATAGAACACATCAGTCAAATACACTTTGCTATGGTCAGTAGCCACAGGGGGCTAGTGTGCCCGGGGCACAGACCTTGCGTTCTCAGCTGGGTACAGATCATCTCCAAAATAATGACACACAACTCTTGAGGGACAAAAACATCTTTTTCCTCTTTTTAGAAAATTTTATATGAAGCATACACATATATACATATCTCATATAAATTGATATTATTCAGAATAACTGTGGTATTAAAATTTCATGGAGGGTGTTTAGGAAAATAAATGTCTGAAAAGGCTCCTTAGCAGGGAGTAATGACAACATCTTGAATAACACTGGTGTCTTGCTGTACATAAAGGTTTAATTTCCAGTGCTTCCATCGTAACTTAGCAGAGTTTCCTGGGGAAAGTTATTTAACCCAGACTTTGGGTTATTTATTTGTTAGTTGGGACTATTAATAGTATGTGTCTCTTAAATTATTGGAAGTATTAAATGAGGAAATCTTCTTACTGTTCATATGGCAGGGATAGACTCAGAACAGTGGCAGTGATAGACTCAGAACAGATATTCAGGATTTTTATAAAGAATATGCTGTTATTGGGAGGGACTTGGGCCATTGGCACCTTTGTCATTTCCTTCCAGTTTCTTTAGGATATATAATTACTTTGCTATTTTCACATTTCATATTTAAAAGAAACTGAAACCTGTGCCCAGTGTAGGCTTATGCATGGATCTCAGTGTGGTCTCTGCACCAGCAGCTGCAGTAGCAGCAACAACACTGAGAGCTTCGCAGAGAAGGAGATCTGAAGACTTTATCCCAGACATGGTAAATGAGAAATGAGGGAAAAGGGCCCAAGATTCTGAGTTTTAACAAGCCTTTCTGGTAAATCTAATGTACACAAAAGTTTAAAAGCTAAAATCTATAGGATATGTGTCTTGTAGATAATGGCAGAAGAATAAGGCCAGAAAAAAAGAAAAAAAGAAAACATTTTCTCCACTGTTCTGCAATAAAATGCTGCAAGTCACAGTTCATCTTCAGTTGCCTTGGAAATGAAGGATGACCATATAGTTCGAACTTCAAACTAGAGCATATGTTCTGACGAGTAGGAACACTTGAGATGTGGGTTGAGTGGCTACTTTGATATGGGGAGAATAGAGACACTTGGCAGCTATGTGGGAGGTGGGAAAAAAAGCAGGTGGAATTAAAAATGGATATTCATGTATTTCTGGGTCAGAGCTTGCCTTGCATGGCAAGAATGCCAAGTTCCAGCTGATCTTGGAATGTTAGAGGTGATTATGGAGGAAGCAGGCAGGGAGCTGCGATAAATGGTCATTTAACAGAGGAAGTATGACCGGAAGAATGGGGTCAAGAAAATACTGAACAAAGGATTTTAATTTTGAAGGAGGAGAAGGAATAAACTAAAAATAACAGTATTTGAAACAAATGAAGCAGCCTAGTACAGTGTTATATATATATAATATATATATATCAAATATAATATATTTGAATAGTTTTACTCTTTTAACAAAAACGTTTGATTGGCTTGAGATTCTTGCTGTGAATTATCACTAGATTTTTTTTGTAGAATCTTGTCAGCACTGATAAGGAACTTACCTGAGAATAAGCTTTACTTACAGTTTAATTCCAGTTCACGTGGAAGTTGGGCTGTGTGGTGTGGGAAGCCTGTGGGAAGTTTTTGTTTTGTCCAAATCTAAAAGAGAGGTAATAAGACAATTGAAAATATTTCTATGATTTATTGGAAATAGTGCTCTGAATTTTTATGCAGGTAGTTATAGAAAAAATCGAAAATATATTTTAATTTAGTCTTTCATTGTAATAGCAAATTTGTTTCCAGATGTTCTTTATTTTGACATTTAAAAGTAACTTGAAATTTTAAAACTAGTTGAAGTCTTTTTTTTTTTTTCAGATTTATTTTTTTTTGCATACAGAACTGGGGTACAGGCCAGAGGCTCAGGGGCCTCTGGTGAGAGGCTTCACCAGAGACAGAGTGGGGAACAGAACGGGCAGATGACGAAGTACACTGCTGAGGGGAGCAGTGGGAGGGTCAGGAGAAGTCTGCCACGCCATGCAGTCACCTCCGGGGCAGATTGGAATCGCACTCATGCGGAAGCGGCTTTAGATTCTCAGTGCTGTGCTTTAACCCAATGTGCCACCAGGGAGGGCCCAACTAGCTAAAGTTTTATGAAATGCACAATCCTTGCAAGAGATATTTAAAAAAATTTTTCATTTTTTTCCCCCAACTCAATCATGTTTGTTGAGGTAAAGTTATGGCATCTTTGTGCCCATAAAATATATTTTTTCAGGTCCTCCCTGGTGGCACAGTGGGCTAACGCAGAGCACAAAGAAGTTTAAGCCACTTCCGCATGAGTTCGATCCCCGCCTGCCCAGGAGGTGACCACATGGCGCGGCAGACCTCTCCTGACCCGCCCGCTGCTCCCCTCAGCAGTGTACTTCGTCGATCTGCCTGTTCTGCTCCCTACTCTGTCTCTGGTGAAGCCTCTCACCCTCCACATCTCTGGCCTGTACCCCAATTCTGTACAAATAAATAAATAAATCTTTAAAAAAATATATTTTTTCAAACTGTATGTTAATAATGAATCTTAATTATTGGGATTAAATAGAATGACAGTTTCTCAAAAATTAACTGTGTGTTAATAATGAATCTTAATTATTGGGATTAGATGGAATGACAGTTTATCAAAAATTAAGCATAGAATGGTCATACAATTTAGCTCTTTCACTTTAGGAATATAATTAAAAGGGGCTCGACTTTGTAGAATTCTTTTTTTTTTTTTTGTAGGCTATGTTCATGACAACATTATTTACAATAGCAAAACGGTGAAATGGTGGAAACAGCCCGCAAAGAATGAATAGATAAACAAAATGGGATATGTATACATACAAGAGAATACTATTCAGCCTTGAAAAAGAAATTCTGATACATGCTACAATACAGACTGACCTTAAATGCATTATGCTCGGTGAAGTAAGTCAGTCACAAAAGGACAAATATTATTTGATTCTACTTACATGAGTTACGTTGTATATCCAAATTTGGAGACCAGATATAGAATGGAGATTGCCAAGGATTGGAAGATTGAGGGAATAGACAGTTATTATTTAATGAGTGTGAATTTCAGTTGGGGAAGATGGAAAAGTTCTAGAGATGGGTGGTTGGGATGATTGTGTTACACTGTGAATGTACTTAGAGCCACTGAAATTTACACTTAAAACCAGTAGATTTTATTTTATATTTACTACAATAACAAAGAAATTGGGCAGATTTTCATTTTAAGTCAATTCTCAGAAACAATCTACTATCATAATAATAATAATAATAATAAAATGTGGAAAGGTATTGATCCAAGTCCTTACCCAGGTTATCCTATTCAACTTTAACACACACACAAAAAAATCCACTGAGATGGGTCTTATTGTCTCTCTACCTCTCTCTCTTTTTTTTTTTTTCAGTAATGGTTTGTAGACTGAGGCAGGGAGAGGGAACAGACAGTAGAACTTGGTTCTTACATAACTTAATATGGACCTTAAAAGCATCGATCTACTTTACCCATCAGAAAAAGCAATCCCAAACCCAAAATTATCTCTGCAAGTTCTGATTTTTATTACAGATAGAAGAGATGACAGAAGATAGATCAGATAGAGGAGATAACATGCTATAGTAACAATTTATATGAAAATGTTGAGTAATTTGATAATTTATGTTTCTTTATAATATGCAATTCCCACAAAGGCCTCAGTATTTTAGGATAAAAGTCCATATCCAGTTACATGTATTTTGTTGTGCAGATGGTATGCCTTTCTGAAAATTGCCAGAAGAAAAGAACACATATTTTAGAAAAGTGTAATATAATCACATTGCATGAAGTTTCTTTCTAATGTGCATGCTTTAAATTCAGAAGACTATTTTTCTATGATATTTTATCTTATTGTGAAATTTAAATTCACAAAAATTTTGACTGTGTTTCTCTGAATATGTAGAAGATGGCCTTATTGACTGTTACCTTGGAAACAGCAATGCCCAAATGCTATGTTTACTCTCTTTAGTACAATTAAAAATCATCTTACTGAACAAATGTAATTTAATGTATTATCTTTAGGCGTGGATTTCAGATAATTTTCATCAGAGAAAAATATGTAATGGTGTGTAGTATAAAAATTATTTTGAAAATAAATATTCCTTTTAAATAGAAACATGTCAGTGTTTGTAATGCCTTTAAAAGCTTGTCCTAATCGGTAAATATATGCATCACTGGTCTTTTCCTTTACATATAATCTAAAATACTTCAATTATTGGTGGAGTGCCCCAGTTACATGATTAATAACCCTAGGAAGTTTAAGATGCCATGTCTAATATTTTGAAATGTTTACTAGTAATCAAAGACCTTGGAAAACTGAACAATTGCTACTTGTTTCAAGTGACTTGACAGAGATCTATGTTGATACATACGTTTTTTTCTAACATTTCTAGGACTCCACTATTGTCACTCCAATTATTTTGAGGACTGACCCTCAGGGATTTTTCTTTTACTGGACAGATCAAAACAAGGTAAGTGAGATGTCTATCTTACATTTTCCAGTAGATGACTGATTTGCAAAGCATTTGTGGAATCTACATAAATATACTTATTTCATTTGTGATTTCTTTGAAGATTCTAATTAAAGAGAGCCTTAATTCAGTTTTTAGTATTTCTAAGCTCTGTTCCTTCTAATTGCAGTTGCCTCATACTGTCTTTATTCTGATTTTGTTTTATATCCTGTGTTGTTTGAGTTTTCATAAGCCTTGTTGTAACTGAGACTGCGGCCTCCTCTCCAGGCATGTTCTGAGCTCTGCTGGATTCAGATACCTCTGGGATTTTTTGTAGGTTGTTTTTTCTTTTTTGGGGGGGGGGCTGCCTCAGCATTTGTGGTATGTTCTCCTGCTTCCTCAGTTTCAGTTTTTAACGGATTGTAATTGGTAGACTTTCAGACTCTTGTCTTTGCACCTGTCAAAGAAATGGCAAAACTGGAACCAGTGAGGGATAACTGGTACAAAAGAGACTGGGGAAGTAGGCACCAAAGGCTCACCTCCCATGGATCCAGAGTTGTGCTGGGGATCCACAGTGATCCCTTCCTTTGGATCAGTTCTCATTACTTAGGGTCCCTTGTGGTCTCCTTCCACTGTCGGCTTCCACTATCAGCTAGTTCTGAGAACTAGATGCAGTGCTGGGCACGGGGTATTGTTGTTAAGGAGTCACAGGCTACTAGTTCTCTTGTCCAGCACAGAACCTTATGCTGGGCATTTGCTCCTGTTATAATAGGTGCTTAAATTCTAATTTGTGCAAAGGTTGATTATTTGTTTCAGCACTGAGGTGAGGGTGCAGTTTTAGCAAGGTCTTTTCACTATGTCAGCCTGGATTTTGAGTAGCCTTTCCTATGAGAAGAGACAGGTGATCTGACCTGTTTTTCCCATTGACTGATTCAGGCTCAAACTGTGCTGTCTTGATGAGAACCTCAGGTTTAAGCCAGTAATCCTCAAGCTGCACCCCAGCTTCTGTACCTTTCAAACAGTGTCTCCTCTATTCTGGGTGCCAGCTCTGTGCACCCCTTTATTCAGTGTTGCATCTCACGAGTCCCCAGTGTTGGCACGTGTCCCAAGTCAGCAACTGGAGGGGGCTCTGCACAGGGCCGCCCCTCCCTCTTGTGGGTTGTATCAGCCCCTGGGTCACTATAGCCACAGTTCACTTAGTTCTTCTTAAGATCCCCAGCCAGGGAGGTGACCCACATGGTGCTGCAGACCTCTCCTGTCTCACCCACTTCTCTTCTGAGCAGTGTATTTCACTGAAATACACTGTAAGCAGCAGTCTGCCGGCTCTGTTCCCTAGTCTGTTTCTGGTGACCCCTCTTACCCCCACACTTCTGGCTTGCACCCCAGATCTTGCACGCATAAACAAATAAATCTCAAAAAGGAAAAAACTTTTTCTTACCCCTTTCCACCAGACCATTGCTCCTAGAATGTGCTGTGGTCATCTTTTTTTCCCCCCCCCCAGGGTTTGTTCACTGCTCCTCTGTGATTGGTTGTCTGTGGAGGGGGTCAACCAAGCCTGGCATCTTCCCTCTGTGCCAGTCTTTTTGACCTCTTGTAATTAAAGCAAATCTGAGGCAGAAGTGTCTTCTGATTTTTCAAGGACTCTAGTTTGAAATATCAGACATGCTAGATCCTAGAAAGTGGTTTTTAGAACAAGAACATATGAAATAATTTGTTGTTGTAAAAGAAAATGGTGTTACTGATATCATTTCCTTGCTCACCCCTACTCCCTGCCCCCAACTTCACCCATAAAAAAATGATGAAGGCACTTGTGACCGTAAGAACTATATGACTGTGATGTTGGCTTTCCCTTTTTCTGCTTTCTCTGCTTTGCTGTTTACTAAGGGATCTCTTGGACTTGGTGGATACTTGACCTTGATCATTTGTTTATATTATAAAATCAAGAGTAAGATACCTTCAACTTTTCAGAAACTTCTTCCCTAATTAGCTTTGTGACCACCACCATATCATGAATGTCTCATTTATTATGAAAACAATTAAGATGATTTCATATTTAATTATTAAGAAAGACTATCTACTGAACATGATTTATTTGAAATTTAATGGGCATTTAGCAAAGAATATTCACAGAGAGTGGTTACTATTTCAGGTTTTAATGCCACAGTTCTGTGTTTGAAACTTTCAAGACCACACAATACAGAATATTTTATCCCTCTAATTTCTCATATTTGGCGAGATGGGTTAGACTTTATTGAGGGAGCAGACTATATATTGAAATCTGCAAGATAATCTGCATGGTTTCTACTGAAAGGCAAACGAAATTGTGGAGTGCTGATAGCTCTTTCACAACCCCATGTTGGGTTCAAATATGCAAAGTTATTGGAGCTTGACCACCTCAGTTCAGCTTTTGGGACAGCCTTCATTTTGCCTGTAAGCAGTGATATGGAACTTGCCTTGTGAATGACATATTTGGGGTCCAAGTAAAGCTTAGAGTAAACTCTTAAGGTGTTGAAAGTAATGTCCGTACCCTAAAGCCAGTTCTGAGTGGGCCTTTTAGATACCTTCCAAAGGCAAATTTTAACCGTATCTGGAGTTACATTCTGAATGTTGATGTCTGTAATTATCTCTGGCCAAATATGTGGAGCTAAAACATAGAATCTGGGCTAATGTTTAAAAATGTGTTTGAATAAGATTTCATACTTAATGCTCATGTTTATTTGTGGGTGTGTTAATCACTTTGTCTTTGACATTCTGTTTGGTTTCCTGCTCTTATGTATAAAACAATGGCTTGTACAAGGTTTATTTTTTTCTTCCTAAAGGCTATTTTTACACTGTTGAAGCTATATTCATGAAAGATATATTTATAATGCTTAGAGCACTTTTAAGGGTTCGGTATTTGTACAAGAAACTAAACTGTCAGTTTTATTTTTCAACTTGTAAATCAAGCTTCTATAAAAGCACAGAAGATATTTGGTTTTTTTTTTTTTTAAATAATTAATGGCAACTGAGTTAACCTTCCCTCTATGACCAATCATAAATATTTTGTTGCTTAAGAGAAGGTTTAGGACTGAAGGCTATTTAATACATCTCTATTGTTCCTTGAACCCAATGTTTTGACTCATGCTTACTTTTAGATACAGGAAATTTTTTCTTGAGTTCTTTATACCAGCCCGTTTTTCTTTGTTATAGTGCATTCTGTGACCAATTGAAACAAATAAGGGTGTTAGCAATTATTTTTATTTCCTTACAGCTTTTCTTGTCATGACTGTTAATCTTAGAGTTCTAAGAGATGGTAAATTTTCTTCTTACTTTGTAGATACTTGAGTTATCCCTCTGTCATAGAGCAGAGTTGGCAGTTTATTTTTTAGTCAGTGATCATATATCATTATCTAAAAGATGAGAGGATTTAAGAAAAACATTAAACTTTTCATGCTTCCAAGTTTGTCATTTTATTCTGGCTTTAAGCCCAGCCCTGGAACAAGAATGCATAACACATCCTTTTCTAGGAGGTGAACTCCTGTAAGTGATGAGATTGAGTAGCCTTCTGCTCCAGGAAGGGGCCTACAAATGAGTGACACCACATCAAGCTTTGTGTAAGATCATTTGAAGTAGCTGAATGAAAAGTAGAATCATTATGATACTTAGAGGTCTGCCTTCTTTAAAATATTTTTTCTGACAATTAGTCTTGATGTGATTTATGACAAGCATAATAGATCTTATGTCTTAAAAGAGAAATACATATTTACAGTTACCTCTTGATTATCCATGACGTGTTTCTGATGGGCTTAGAAGCTAGAATTGGTATGTCTTGTTATATGCTTCTCATCTCCCCTTGGACTTCTCTGTTGTCCCTAAAACCTGTGCCAGGTTGCCTGATTCATAAACTCTGGAAGCCTGCCTGTTCGGAGGCCAGCTGAATAGCTTTAAGAAGCTCTTGGTCAAGAATATTGTTACAAGATCTTCTTTATATAGCCTTGGAGAAAATCTTCACATTGTGCAGATCTGATCCATACCCCCTCTTCTGTTTTGGTTATATAATAATATGTGTCAGAGCCATCTCTTTCAATCCACGGATTTCACCCGCCATAGACAATGACACACTGGCATCCTTGTTCAGTCACCATGGAAATGATAGGGAAATGATAGGTGACAAAGAAGACAGACAGACAGAGCAGATGAAAGACTTAGGAATTAAAAACCAGACCTAGCATGTAATTTTTTAGCAAAAATGTGCTTTGAAATAACAGTGAAAGGACATTTGGAATGGGTGGAAGAGGATACATATGAAGGTCATTTTAAGTAATAACTGCTCATAGTTGATACCAGCTGTGAACTTATTTTAATTATTCTTTCCCCTTTATTGCTGGCTCTATAAATCTTATTTACTCTGTAAATTCTATTTGACTGTAATTAGTCAAAAATAAGCTTTTGTATATGAGTATTTGAAGCTTTTTTTTTTTTTTAATGTCAGTATGCAACACTAGCAGATACTCTGTTGTCTGTAATTGTGTGAGAAGGGTCTTCTGCACAGGCTGGGTGTTTAAGAGGCTGCCTGTATTAGACTTTGACTTTTCTTTGAAGCTGTACCATATTGGGACCAGAAACCGCCCCTGGAAGTGTTAGCCATGAAAACCATGTGAACTACAGGAAGAATCTGCATCCCAATTTTGGAAGAAAAGCTAAAGTAGAAAAAAGGGGTCAATGTTAAAGAGCTAATAAAAACTTAACCTGCTACAATATGAAACAAAGTGAGCCTTTGCCTTACAACTTGATGCCCTGCTTCCGTGCCAAGGTTGGAGTAAAAATAAAACTAGTCAGTGCGAATCTGGATCCAGAAAGTTCAATGCAATTCACCAAATTCTTCCTTGTACCCCTAAAACAGGAGCTTGGGAGTGGGGAAGGGAGAAGACAGATAGGTTTGAGAAACATCATTAAATTAAAAGGGGATGGGAAGGAAAATACACATTTTAAACAAAGGATACATACTACTTTCTCTCTTTTCTATTACAGATTTTGTTCAT